CATATCCAACGTAAACAGATTGTTTATTAAACTAGCAGAAGCAATGAGCTGTCCTGTTGAATTGAAAACTTTGGCTCCATCACTATTGAATACCACAGAGTTTCCTTTATTTACAACTAGCTGTAACCCGCGGGCTTTGCCCCGTTTAACTTCTTAATTTTCAAGATGATCTCGTTCGCATGGCTCAATCACGTCCTGGTTGAAGTTCGTTCGCTACGCTCACTCACCTTTAGGTTGGAGCTCGTTCGCTACGCTCACTCACCTTTAGGTTGGTGCTCGTTCGCTGCGATCACTTGCCTTCAGGTTAGCTCGTTCGCTACGCTCACTTGCCTTCAGGTTAGCTCGTTCGCTACGCTAACTCGCCTCCAGGTTGAAGTTGGTTCGCTACGCTCACTCATCTTTTGGTTGCAAATTAGCTGTTGTCATAAATGTAAAAGAAATAATAGTGCTGCACCCTGTTGGTAATCCTTGTAACTTTAATGCTATTAAACATCATAGAACAGAACCAACTTGTTTAATTGAAACAGCTGTTAAGATTCATTAATTCCATATCTCATAAGGTTAACATGGGAAACTCCAGAGCCACTGGGGCGGAGCCGATTGGACGGATCACGAAATTGATGGTGTATAAACCTATTCTATGAAATTCTACACGTATGTACCAAGTTTCGTGGCAATCGGTTCAGCGGTGTCTGAGTTTATCACTGCCAAACAAATATATATATATACAAACATCCTCTTTTATACTTATAGATTTGACTCATTGATAAAAGATTAACTTTTAAGTTAGGCACATAATCAGGGTGGCTAGTGAAATCACATTGAAAAATTCCCTCACTTTTCCCTGACAATTCCATGATTTTTTTTTAACTTTCCCTGATCGACAAATTCAAAATTACAATTTTTATACTAACTAATTCTTCAAAAGGACTAATCTTTATCTGAAGAATATCTAATGTTTGTTTACACGAAAAAATACATAAAATCTATAGATACAGGCTAGCTTATATTCAAACTTTGCAACTTGCCTTAATAAAATTAAACTGAGTTTGATAAGATGATACACAGTTTAAACCAAATTTAATTTGTACAAAAACACAAAATTTATTTTTACAGACATAATTCTTAGTTTTCACCCACACGGCATACGTACTCTTACCAGATCGACCTTTCCTAACAATTATTAAAATTATTTTAACCCTTTGAGTGCCAACGTCCGGGGAACCGGACGTTTTTAGAACGAGCCAAAAGTGCCAACGTCCGGCTGACCAGACGTTTCGTAATGATCGAACAGTTGTCATAACAACCGAATGGATACTCGGATTCTTTTAACCCATATATTAACATTGAGTCGAAAGTTACTAGATGCGATACATCAATTTTTGTTGGTCGAAATATCGAAAATTCGATTTTTACGAAATTTTAACCTAAAAATCGCCAGATCGCGCTCGGCATTTTTAGCGCGACCTTCAGGAAAAATCATCGGCATTTTTTGAGCGTTACTTTTATTTCTCGCCTGGCACTCTAAGGGTTAAACATTTTACAATTTTCCCTGACTTATGACCAAATTCCCTGAATTTTCCATGACTTTTCCAGATATTTAATATTCCCTGACATTTCCAGGTTTTCCAGGTCACTAGCCACCTTGAAATGTACATTACTTACATTTGCTTCCGAGACCTCACCAGAAATACATATTGGAAGCTCCAAATCACCGACGGTATCAGTCACCATTGTCTCATTATTTGCTGTGGTGATCGTTAGTGCTTAGCCTTTTCTTGCGTTCAGAAGCATGTTAACGTCAACACATAAATGACAAGATGCCCCGCTGTCTAAAAAGAACTCATTACTAACGCCCGATTGCATTGAAAATTCAGCAAAGAGTGACGTATTAGATTTGCCAGAGTTTACGTTATTTTTGCTCACTACTCTTGTAGATGTACAGTTCTTTGAGATGTGACCGTAAACATTGCATTTATAACATCTCGGACCTTTCTTCACATTTTTGTCCAAACTACTCGTGTTTCTGTTCTTTTGATACATTTTGTGAACTGTCCCTCTTGAACTGGAACCATACAGTGCAGAATCAGTTCCAGCAAAAGTCATATCACGTTACTGGAGACACATCTTGCAATAACTTTGTTTTTATTGCATCCGCCGTGACTTTATTGCCTGAAGATTCAATTCCCATTATCATTGGTTCATACCGGATGGGTAAACCAGCTAGTAAGATTGTTCCAACCCATTCATCGGTCACCTTCAGACCCACATTTGTAAGCTTGTGAGCAGTTGTGATTATGCGGTTCACGTATTCCTCAACAGAACTACAATCTTCCAGCTTTGTAGTTATTAGAATACGGAGAAGTCCAACTCTCCTGCTTAAACCATCATCTTGAAAAGCCTTTGTTAAATTGTCCCAAGCTGCCTTTGCGGTGGTTGTGTTTTAAATATGTACATAATTCACCGGATCAACCAATAAGATCAGCTTTGATCGACATTTAGTGTCCTTTTTCTTATCCTGTTCTACACCAGATACACAGTCCCACAAATCTAAATCTTCCAGGTAAGCTTGTACTGCAAACTTCCATGTGTCAAAATTCTCACGACCTTTAAAAAAAGGCTCTAAAAAGGCTCTTTATCAAAAGGCTTTTAAAAGAGTTGTCCATTATTTAGGCCTAATGAAAAAAGAATGTCTTTCCTAGAGACATTGAAATGCCAGACATCATTGTTTCCTGCAATTGGTGTACTTCTACATTATAAAACGAAATACAGTAAGGTCTCAAGCCTTTTGGAACAATAAGAAAGTTATTCCTCAGCCACCAGCACTAAAAAATCAATTAAAAGTAGAAAATTGATTTTTATCACGTATATTACCTTTGAAAAATACGTATATGAAAGATTGGTTCAGCTAAAAGTGGTGTAAGGGGTAGGTGGTTTTGTTTGCTCAAGATGTAATCGAAATTGCAAATCAGCTTCCCATTTCCGAAGCAGGCATAATATTATTGACAGTGAAGAATATTAATAAACATTCCACCTCTTCAAATGCATGTTTAGTAATTAAAATATTTAACACTTTTAAGACGATTGACGATTATGCAATCTCACACCTCTTATGTCGTTTAAGGAATAATTGCATCTAATTTATGTTTAGACCTCTTTTACGAATGCTTTGGTTTTCACAATACACCTTAAATTGTCAATATCATACAGCTATTCACTATGTTTTTATAAGTCAGAACATTCAATACTCAAAACAGAATCATACACAAATCATAGTAGTAGTAAGTAGTGGATACCGCCATTTTGGTTTTGATTAATTTTAAATCTTGTGTAGGCTGATATGAGAAAAACTTACCAAATATTTGAATAAAACTTTCAAATACGATTTCTCTTCATCTCCCTTAATTACATATATTTTAATTTATAATTGACATTTTAAATTTCAATTTTGAATTTGCAAAAATGCTAATTATTAAATTTAAATGGACATTTTTTTTTAATTTCACTCTTCTTCATATTAAATCAAAAATCCTTCCATCTTTAGTTTCTTCACTCACAATAAATCATTAGCAAAACTAAGTCAGCTGTTATAAACTTGAGAAATATTGTAGTGCCTTATCAATAAAGTCTTTTGACGTCTTTTGAAATATTAAAGAAACTATATCCATACTATAAAAAATTTTAAACAAATAATTTAGCATTAAAGACAGCAGACAAAACTAATATGATTATCAAAGCATCGAGGACTAAAAAATGTAATAGCAAATACAGTATATGTTTCATTGCATCTCTGATTCTATTCTACAAAAATATCAACAAACAACTTAATATACAAACCAGTTAATTTAATAAGTTCCATCGTCCATTGCCTTTAAATGTTCACACTTACCATTAAGTAAACATAGTAATAGATATTTAATTGATTTTAGAAACAAAAGAACACTGTGTACTCCTTAGTTTTATGACATTTTCCTTGGTTTAATTTAATCAGTGGTGTGGCAAAACACAAATAATAAATTTATGAAATAAAGTAAATGTGAACTGAAAGCTACGTTAAGATAAAATAAGAGTATTTTATATTACCATTTGATAATTAAAAAAAGTTACACATATACAACAGATTTTAGAACACAAAACTCAATGATGTACAATTTAGTTATTGATTATATTCTTTAGTTTAATTTAAGCATAGCTTTAGCAAAACACAATAACTAAATTTACCTAAATATACATATCAAAAACAATGTGATGTGCAAGTTATGTTAAGTTAATCTAACACATGTTAAGCAGTTCGAATTTATTTAAAATAGCCTCCAAATTCATACAAAACATCTGTACATTGTAATTTTCATACTGTTTCCATGAAAACATATCAATAACATTATTTTCATAACTTAAGACGCTTTAAATAATCCGAAGCAGAGCCGGAGTTGATACAGCAACGGTTATAGAAACTTTTTTTCTGTAATCATTGACAGTTTTAGAATAAATAATCCATGATAAAACGTTAGATTAAACCTACCTCATAGTTTGGAAAATATTATATTAAACTTCTTTGTATCAGCTGTCTGAAATTGTGAAATATGCAATTTAGCAGTTCTTCTTGTTTACATTGAAATGTCAAAGCAATTGTAAACAAACATTATTAGTGTTCTAATCGCAGCCATGGGGACCAATCAATATTTACTTTTAAAATCATCACCTCAGAACTTTTAAAGCCAAAGGGGCAAAGCCTACGGTCAGTATCGAAATGTGAATAGTCCTATAATGGTCCTTGGTATGGTAGCAATATTTCTGTAAAATTTAAGCCCAGTTGGTTCTGTAGTTTTTGCACCTATTAGTAACACACATACAGACAGACACCATTAGATTTTTATATAATAGTATAGATAGAAGAATAGATATACATGTTCGCTCTGCTCAATTAATGGACCTGAGACCAGTTTAAGAAAGGAGGCATAATTTAACAAAAAAATATCTTAGAACATAAGTCCACATACCTCTCTAGATAAATAACTTGAGAGTTCATCCTCACTGAGTAGTGATGCATCATCACTATTTAGAATACTCTCTAGAGTGGGTGTTTTATCCACTGGAGGAATTTCATATTCTTCATCATCCAGCTGAAAGAAAAGATCATCAATATAAAAAAGAAATACCAAAGAATAATTCTTTATAGCATATAAGCTACAGTAATATGTGCCCTAATCAATAATTTGAAATGACATCAGATCAGCGAACACATAAAACAAAATAGAAGCGCTACTCGGAGCGCAGGAGCGTGGCAATCTGACTAGCCGACGAAACGGACAAAGATGGTGGCGCTAGCCTAGTCCCGGCGCGGCGTCTGCAACGCGCTGGTTGACTGCTATGCTTCGAGTCAGTGTTGTTAGCATAGGCTTTGTTTAAATGTAAAAATACTTTTGTATGAAAATTACTTAGGTTTTTCTGGAAGTACATTGTCGTAGGCCTATTAGTATATTGTTGGAAATATCTTAAAGTAAATCGATTGTTTTTACTGTATTATTGCCGACATAAAATTTATCTAATAAAAACCTTTACACTTAAGTTCCTATAATGAATTATTCCTAACTGATTAGACAAGCCCAAATTAGTTTAATCAAAGTTTACTTGGCTATTTCCAAAGTATTGGTTTAAGAATCGTTTAGGTTGATGTTAGCCTCCGGATTACCAATAAACACAAACATAATTACTCTATTTTAATAATAAATTAAGATAACAAATTCTTTATAATAAATTAAGATAACAAATTCTTTAACACACACAAAAGTAGGGTACTACTAATGATTAAACTACTTGTCGGAAATTACTAAGTGGTTGGTTGTAATTTATTTCACTTAGTTAGTCGTCAGTTTAGGCTTATTGACTTATTATTAGGCATGTTGTGAACTAGTCAAGTGATTGTTCTTTTACAAAAATAATGTATTGCATTTTCAATTTGAAGCGGAAGTTGGTTGTAAAGTTTAGGACCCAAGTATTGATGGCGAAAAAGTAGTGTATTTACATTGGGTAATTTAACATATTATTTTCAAAGCTTCTTGCACTGTAAGGATGATTAGGAATAAAACTTTCTCTTTTTACGCTCCGGATAAATAACTATCTCATAACCTTACAAATAAAAATATTTTGTACGAGTAAAATGCATAACTTTTGGTAAAATCGAAAAGAGCTAGACGACGGCCCGGCGGGGCAGCGGGCGTGGCGCGGAGCAGCGGCAATGGACCCCCTTTGTACCTGATATTTTTAGAAAACCACGCACGATAAACATTTTTGGTGAATCGGATAGTTAAATTTGGTTATTTATCCACAACTTTCCCGCTGACGAAATTTCTCTGACCAAAAAATAAAAAATGTCCTCGCAATACAACTTTTTCATGTCTGAATGTGAAAAATTAAACTACATTAAGTAATACAAATATTTATGAATCAATTACTATCATAACTAATAACTTTATATTCTAGTCTATCCATCCGACAATCCACAAGACCGCAGCCTTTAGATCTATGCTGTACCGAGCCTATAAGATCCCACTTAGCCAAGCCAATAGGAAAAAAGAACTGGACACCATTAAGAAGATCGCTCAAGTGAATGGATTTCGAACGAACCAAGACGATAGAGGACATCGCAAGGAAGACGAGGAGGAAAATCGATAGACAGAATACACTACACAGCAGAACAACATTAGAAGAGATAAAAGAGGAAAACACCAGATATATCACATTTAGCTACACGGGGACTACAACACAAAGGACTGCTAACAGATTCAAGAAATACAGAGTTTCAATAGCATGCAGGACTCAGAACACCATGAGTAAAATACTGCATCCAAAAATAGAAGATTGTAACAAATTCGACACTTCGGGCATCTATAAAATCAATTGTAACGATTGTGATAGCTTCTACATTGGACAGACTGTGAACTTCGTTAACCGCTTCAAAAACCACATATCTGCGTGGAGGAACAACAAACCGGAAAGATCAAATGTCGCACAACACCTGTTACAAAATGGGCATTCACTAGGAAAAATGGAGGATAGTCTAGATATTTTAAAGAATTGTAAGAAAGGATATGTAATGAATGCTTGGGAAGAATTGTATATTTATAAGGAAAAATGTAAAGATAGAAATAAGTTGATTAATGAACTAATACATTTTGATTCCAGTTGTACTTATAAAAATGTATTGGCCGGTGCTTCCGGTAGCCAATAGGGTATAAGTAGGGACGCCATTCAAGATTCTTGTCATTCGCCTATTGGGTCTGATGATGATTGGAGTTTCCAATGGAAATCGATCACCACTTACCATCTTTTTTGTATATTTACCGTCTTGTGAGTAACAGTATAAGTGTAAATATATGTTTTAAGTGTTATAAGACGTTTCTTTTATTTACTTTCCGTAATTATTTTTTATCTAAAAAATGTTTTTATCAATCCTCTGCAGCCCCTTTTGCTTGCGACCCTAGGCCGCGGCCTAGTGGTAAATCCGGCACTGGATGGTCCCGAGTCAATATCTCGAAATATGTGCAAAAAAACCTGTGACATCTTTTTTGCAAAATTTGTCCAATATTGGGAAAAGCCGCCATTTTAATAATTAATTTAGGGCATTCCCGTGGACTGATTTTTGGTAACTTTTCGTATGTCACTATGCACACCCCGACAATAAAATTAGAACCATTAAAAGTTTTTTTGCAAATTTTTATACGATCCTTGTGACAGTTTTTTTTAGTTTGCTTGGACTATTACATAGTTTATAAAAATATTATTATCTGAAATATTTTATTATTTCCACGTGGTTTATTTTTGGTTGTAAATGCATGTATTTGTATCATTTTAAAGGTAATTTCAGAAGGAACATTAAATTAATATTGACTGGAAAGTCAGAATTTCAATAAAAAGCAAAAAACTACTGGATTTGGCCGCCATTTTTCAAAGATATTTTTGGAGACTTTTGATATGTTATTCACAATACTTTTCACTATCAAACTACAATGGTTTCATGTGTGTTCCAATTATTTCTAGGTCAAACCATATATTCAGGGGCCTAAAGTGTTTTCAAACGGTTAGCCAACATTATTGAAACTATCAAAGAATATCTAAAACTTACCCCCAAATAACATAACCTTTCAGTGCTATGCAATGATATATCGTTGTGTGTCTATTTCCCAAAAAAAGCTATAGAACGATATATCGTTGTTTGCGTTTCATACAAATAGCACTAAGCGACGATATATTGTCCGGGACAACTTACGACCATGAGAGTTTAAATGGGCATATCGGTTGACTTGGTTGTTGTTTCGAATCAGCGATGGTTTCTTTCTATTCCTCATACGATCGAGGCCTGATATATCGTTCCTTTAGTTTAGCACTTTTGAGCAATTTTTATTGTTAGGCCCACCGATTTTTCTCTTGCACACTAGACTTTGCCCCCGTGGCAAGCCTAGCACTTTTCGGACAAAATATAACTGTACGGTAGCATTTTTTGGGAAATTTCAACAAAATTCCAGCATCAAAAGGGTTAAGAATAAAAAACCCGGTTAGTTAGATTGGCCAAAGACAATTTTTGCATCACACTGCAAGGCCATTCTAACTTATTGACTACTAACATAAATTTGCAGAGTTTTCTTATATCTTAAGGCTGATCAAATCAGCATAGTAAGTCAAAAATAAACCAAGCTGATGCCAATCAAAGGTTTGTTCTAGGCTAGGGCAAGGTACTTTATATTTTGTCCATGATTACTCAGTAATTTGGTTTAACTATTGCAAGGAGACTTAATGTGTGCAAAGACATATTTAATATCCATAGCCTATATTTTTCATTAGCAGATGTGTACCTCCGATCCCATCCAGTACTTTGGCCTAAGAACTTAACATTTAAGCCCATTGTGATCAGTGTTTAACTTAACCCTTTGCCCTCAGCTGTTTCTGAGTCAGCTTGTCATTGTTTATGCCTCTCAGGTCGTATGGCCAGCACTACTGGCCATTGTAGTTTCTCTGTTCGGTTGGTCACCACTCTGCCAAACCAGGTACACCAGCTTGTATCAAGTATTTTGTTTTTGTCAATTATGGTAAGGTATAAGGTTTTACACATTGAAACTAAAAATAAATTCAAATAAGTCTAATATTTTTATATTTTATTGAAAGCTAATGAAATAAGAAATAAAACTAAAATCAAAGTTTACTGCATAAGTTCTTATAGCCTAACTAGCAGAGTACCCGTCCTTCGTACGGGGTTGGAATATAAGTATAAAATGCTTATTGCAGTTATGCTCAAGCTTTGCGTTTGCAATAAGGGAGGACACAGTTTGATAAAATTTACTTTTTTAAATTTACAGTATTCTATAGTAACACATCTACCATAGCCATAATGTTCTACCACTTTGCCTAAACAATAGAGAAAAATAAATTATCAACAATTCGCAAAATATCACAAATTATTCATGAAATGAAAAACTTAAACATAACTTTAAACAATCCTATTTTGACAGTTCTCATTGCGAATCACAGTTTTTTGTTGCTGCTTAGTTCAAATTAGCTGTTTTCATATAATATGCAAAAAAAATATAGTGCTGCACCCTGTTGGTAAATCTTATAACTTTTTAATGCTTTTCCATATCATAGAACCAACTTTTTTAGTTGAAACAGCTGACTAAATTCATTAATTCCCTTTAAATATGAATACTCATAAGGTTAACATGGGGAATTACAGAGCCACTGGGGCGGAGCCCGAAAGGATTTTTGAGATAAGAATATGCCTATATGTTAATCGGGAATGTAAGCTATCATCATGCCAAATTTCAGCCCAATCCGTCCAGTGGTTTATGCGTGATTGAACTTCAAACACACAAACAAACAAACAAACAAACAAACACACAAACTTTCACATTTATAATATTAGTAAGATGAAATATTTAATTTTAAAAATTGTCAAAAGAACTACTGTTGCTATAGGAACTATGTATGATTTCCCTTTCCCTATGAAACTAGGCCTTGAACTAGTTCATTTCTTATATCAACAGATTAATCCAAAAACCATTTCTAGTCATCCTACAGTTACACAATTAATAATATTATATCTGGTAAATGTAACCTCACATCACAGTTT